GAGAATGTGGGCCATAAATGATTTATAATTTATAACCAATGTGTGTACCATAGCTCCTGGCACTTTCAGAGGAAACTATAATCTGTTTTTACTACTACATATCAAAATATAATCATCATTAAAATTCCCCAAACTCACTGGACTTATAAAAGGAAGCAATGTGTTCTGTGAATTAATATTCTCTAACAGCAGGTATTTTAGGGAAACAAGTATTGTCTTTGGATTCTATTCTTTTTGTCATGTCAAGAAATGGTAGATCTGTATTTATGGAAAAGACTTTGTTAAAAACAACAGTAACAAAAACCAACCATTACAACAACAACCACCACAAAATCAACTTCAAAATCCAAGTCTATGTGACTCAAACTGTGTAACTGTTTTGTTACTAGCACAGGATTGGTATACATTTCAAATAAGGGGCCATTAATAATTTCACATAATACTACTAATAATTGTTACTGTGTGGCAGGTAGTGTGCCAAGCAAGCACTTCATAGGTATTACTTCACTTTATCTTCAAACACAAAAAGCAGGTGCTCTTATTCTCTTCTTTACTAATGAGAAAATGTAGTCTGAGAGATTAAATGTTTTTATAAAACAACCAACCAACACAATGAGACAAAAAAAAACATGCCTATTGCAATCACTTTTAGAGACATTTAGATACATCCTAATATCTGGATTTGCCAACAACTGTATTAAATATATTTCAAGGAAACTTTGATATGATAAAATTGCTGTTCTACAGAAGAATTTCAATGACCCTTTGGTGTTTGAGAATATACAATTTAAACTATTTAACCTGAGCAATAAAGACCAAACTAATAGTTATTTATAAACTATAATGAAGCTTTCAAAGTTGAAATTCTGTTTTTTTTAAATTTCTCTCCTTAGAGGAGTTATAATTTATGTGACTTTCTATCTCAGACATGAAAGTATGCATCATATATGATTTTTTAAAAGTTGTGATTCACATATACATGTATTATGAAATTCACACATTTTGAGGCATATACTCACCAATAATGTCTAAAAGTTTTTTTTCAGGAATGAAAATGTCCATATATAATGCAGGATCTAGAACCTAAATTTTTATTTGTAGGAAAAAGACTTAGACATATAATTTGCATCTTTTAAAACTTATATGGGAATAACATTAACTATTCATGCCTGTACATCAAGATGTGTGAAGGGTGCATTGTGTAAGTCATATTTAAAAGAATTTCAAGTTGGGCCTTTGGGTGGCCCTTGCCTATATCCCCAGCTACTCAGGAAGCCCAGGCAGGAGGATGGCTTGAACTCAGGAGTTGGGGGCCAGTTTGGGCAACATATGAGATCCTGTCAGAAAGGAAAGAAAGAAAGAAAGGAAGCAAGAAAGAAAAGAAAGAGATCCTGTTAAAAATAAATAAAAGAAAGAAGAATTTTCTCTGCCGTGTTGAATTTTTATATTCAGTTTGGAGTTATCAATATATGACATATATTTTAAATTGCAGTATCATATTTGTTAAGACTGCAGAATCCTGTTGACCCTCAAAATGTGAAGGTTACTGAAGAATGAAGCATTTCTTCACTCTTCAAGCCTGAACGTATTTTCCCCAAATCGTTCTCAGCTACCAACCTTTTTTAAAAAATGCCATCAAGGTTCCAATTTTGTTTTTAAATGCTCTGGTACATTCTTGTTCAAATCCAGGAAACAAACAGAGACTTCTGACCACATATTTTCAGTAGTCGTGGCATGCCGGGTAATATACACGCTTCCTGTGTTTGTAAGCTTGTGGCATTAGTATATTGACCTTTTAAATGAAACCTATTAACAACGTCAATCTGTTCTCTTATGTACACATTATGGCTCCCCCTGTCATTTCCTACACCAGTGCTGATAGCCTTCTTTAAAAAATCTTTAAGGATATAGAATGAGAAAAAAAATTCAAATGTGATTAAAGTCCAAAAAACTGTGGTCCAGATTTGCAGTGTCAAGTAGAAAAGAGCGACAAAAATCTGTGCTCCTATGAGTGAAAGATGAACCCAAGGTCTTAATACACGATCACAGACGAGAGTCTTTTGGGAAGTGAGTGCATCAAGCACAAAGACTGAAAAATAACTACGCCCGTCATAAAATGGGCAAGGGCAGCACTTGCCTTCGTCGCACGCCAGCCTTTGAAGGCGAATGCGTCACCTTCTCGGGTGTCGCCCATCCTAACACCAGCCTGCCCGCGCGGCCCCGCGCCCGCCCGCACCGCCCCAGCCTCGCTCCTGACACCCGCGCGCACACGCGCCGGTCCTGCGGGCCAGAGATAAAGCAAAGATGGCAGCGCCGAAGGACCGGAGCCGCGCTCAGAGGGGCTGCCAAGAGGAACAGCAAAGCCCTCGGTGTTCTTTCATTCTGCACATTGCAGGGAGTAACAAGGTCCCCCGCCCAGTCCCCAACTCTGGGGCTGCGTCATGCATCTAGTAGTAGGGCTTGCAGGAGCTGCGGGAAGGGACGCTGGCTTTGCACACTGTGAGAAGCCCACAGCGCCGATCTGCGGCGACGGCGCAGGTGGCCTTCGCGACTTGCCTTGGGGACCCACCTTTCCTTTTTATGTTCCCTTAACAGTGGTACCAAAGGTCACTCCAAACGCCCTTCCCTTCCTGGCTTGTGCCCTATTCCCCGCCATTCCCGGGGAATCTTCCAAGGTACCCAGCTGCCAGCCACGGCAGTAGAGGTGGCAGTTGCAGGGACCGGGGAGCACACAGTGCGGAGGCAGGAAGAGGACGGGGAGGAGAAGGAGGAAAAAAAGCCCGCTGCATTGGCTATCAATTCAGACTACAGCAACCGCTGCCGCTGCCGTGGAAGGAAACGCTGCCAACCGCAACCGAAACGCCACCCTCGGCTACCTAAATGAGCCTGTGTGGGAGTCTGCGCAAGCCTAGTGGTGCGGCTCAATGACAGCGGGGTTCTTAGGAGGTGATCCAGCTACCAGGTTTTGCGTGTACCCAGGAGGCTCAGAAAAGGGCTTGTCTGGTACTGAGAAGTATTGTAAAGACTGAAGCGGAATTGAGGAAGAGGTGGGAGCAACCCAGAGACCAGTACAGTCACAGGGATCAGTGTCCACTAGAAACTCATTGGATAGTGACTGTTATCATCTAAGCCTGCGCTGAAAATGTTTTTCTGTGCAGGCAACATTTCATTCCCTCAATCAATGTATATTTCCTTCCCATGTAAGGCTAGATTTTCGTAGGAGCTGGGAATAGACATAGATACCATCCCTACCCTTATGAAAAAGCCTAACACGTTTTGTTTAATGTGGTTGTCTTTCGTTGAAAGCCACGTGCCAAGGCATCCGAGATGCATTATAGCCTCACTCAATCTCATGTTTTCCACTATTATTCAAAGAAGGAAACTTGCCCAGACATATGCATGTATTAAGCAGAACTGAGATCCAAATTGAAGGTCGTCCGATTTCAGAGCCTTTTAAGTACCCTGCTGGCTCTTGGAATAGCAACACACCTTCGCATTTCCTACCTGTCAGGCCTTTAACTCCACTCTAAGAGTTTAGCTACCTCTGCACCAGTGTCTTGGATTTCTTACTCCAGCGCAGTGGTGGGGTCTCTGGCTTCAGGGTTAATCTGACGCTTCAGGATAGAAATCTGACCTAACAAATACTTAGTGCATAGCGACTATCTGTAAAGTTCCACATTTTTGTGTCTTTGAGAAAGAAAAATAACAAAAATAAACAAGCACAGAGGATAGTTATAAGACAAGGGCAAATCTTGTCTTACAGGAGCTAAAATACTGATTCTCAAGTCCATTGTTCCTGTGTTTTCATTATTTCATTTCTAGCTATCTTTTTATTTATCGAAATGACATACATGATTTAAAATTCCAGATAAAATTCATTCTTTTCAGCACTTTTCCCCCTCCAAAGTTGGAAATCAATTTACTTCTCCATTCCTCTGAAACACTAAGAAAGACTTTTTGAGATAAAGCCATTTAAAGAAGAGGCACTCGTCAGTAGATGACATAGTACAAGGATGGTAGGACTTAGAAGTAATTTTGCTGGACTATAAATTAGGCAAAATTTTAAAATGAGAACCAGAGACATTGGCATGTGTCTGTTTGAAGAATCTACTTAGATGGGGTTAGTAGAATACCTTGAAACAGAGGACTCAGCAAATGCTACACTTTTATAGATAACAATGCTAAGAGCATTGGTAGAGCTGGGATTTACAGTTGTTACACAGTCACAATTATACTTGCAAGTTCACATTCAAGAATGATCTTTAATAATATAAATCGGGGCAGAAAAAGATAAGACATTCTGTGACTACTGTCAAGATAAAAGTGCACCCTTAGGTGCATTGAATGAGGAGTCAATAAAGGAATATTTAAGAAAAGTATTGCATTAAGATGTAGCTCTCATAGAAATGTTGAGAACAAGAATTTGGGAATGACTCTGGCTCGTGAATGAATATCAGTCTGTAAATTACACGTTCACAGGAAACATCCTTAAATCCTAATGACAAAAAAATAAAATTGCCAAAGGGACTAATGAGTCGGACTGGCTTCTGTACACTGAATTCTGAACCAACCAGCATTCACACTACATCTTCATGTTGGGAGCCGCGGACACGGGGAAAAGGTAGCAGGAGAGCATAGCACTCGTCCTCTGGCGATGGGCACATTCCCTTTTTCTTTCAGGTTTTGCTTCTCCCACCTAGAAGAAGCCCCATTACCTGACGACGAATGCCCGTAGTTGACAGCCTCCCCCATACACTCCGCATGCTTCCCCACGCTGCTGGTAAAACCCGGAGACGTGGATTTCCTGAAGATTTCGCACCACCAAACGCCCCCACCCGAGTCCCCAGGCGGAGGGAGCGGCGCAGAGGGGGCGGAGCCCGCAGGGACGGGTTCCAGCCACTGAGCATGCGCGAGGCGCGGCGCATGCTCAGTGTAGGCGGCTGCTTCCCATTGCGGGCGGCTCTGGTGGTGGCAGCGGTGGTGGCGGCAGCGGCGGCACCGCCTCCTCCTTACACTCCCCGGGTGGCGGGGTTAGATGAGCGGCCCCAGTAGCGGCGAGGGCGGCGCGGGGGGGAGGAGGAGAAGGCGGCGGCGGCGGAGGAGGTCGCTGTCTTTGTAGTCTCCTTGCTGTGGGAGCCCGAGGCCGCCGCTGGAGCCGTTGTCGTTGGAAAAGAGCTGTGAGTGCGCGCGCGTGTCTGCCCGCCCGGCCCGCGGGGACGAGGCGGCGGCGCCGGCTCAAGAGAGGATGATGATGTGCGCGGCGACTGCCTCCCCCGCCGCCGCCTCTTCGGGGCCCGGGGGGGACGGATTCTTCCCAGCCGCTACCCTCTCTTCCTCCCTAGCGCCGGGGGCGCTGTTTATGCCGGTTCCCGAAGGCTCCGTGGCAGCCGCGGGGCTGGGGCTGGGGCTGCCTGCCGTGGATTCCCGGGGTCACTATCAGCTGCTGCTGTCTGGCCGGGCCCTGGCCGACCGCTACCGGAGAATTTACACAGCTGCGCTCAGTGACAGGGACCAGGGGGGCAGCAGCGCTGGACACCCGGCCTCCAGGTGCGTCTCCAGGGTGCTCTTCCTTGCGCCGCATGCCTCGTGTGTACCGTGTGCATGTGGGTGTGCGCGTGCATCCGCCTGTGTGCATGTCGACGTATTTGTGCACTGAGCTGTCTTTCAATTAGCGCTTGATGCTGGGGGTAGAGGCTCTCATCGAGATCGGAGGGTGCGGTGGCCGCAGTTTCTGCTCCGTGTGTGCGTGTATGTGTTTGTATGTCTGTGTGTGTGTGTGGGGGATGGTTAGGAAGGATGGGAGCATAGCGTGTGATGTGCTCGAAAAGGTGATGGTGGTGGTCGGTCATGACACGTGTGTGTATTGTTGAGGAGGGAGGAGGCATGACACGTAGAGAATTTGCAAGGATGGTGAGGGAGGTGGCTTTTCCAGTGTCTGCGGCAGTGTTATTTGCACGCCCCTCCTCCTCCCCCATGACATTCTTTGCTCCCCTTTCCATCCTCCATACAAGAGACCTGCCTTTCACTAAGGGGAGCAATGATACAGGCTAAGGACAGTGTCATATTTGTAGGATGAGTTTTAGATGGTCAGGTTAGAGGTTTCATTTTACGATATTTATGAATAAGGGATATAGATGGAGATTTATTTAGATGTGAAAAGTATCCGATAGAGATTTTTGGAGCTCTACTTTGATAACAGAACCTTTTGGCCTTCCAAGATAGATGCTTGCAGCTACTCTTGTGTTCTGATGTCCCATTCAGCTATTTCTCATCGTCTTCTGTTCTGTTTCCTCTGTTATGTTCAGGCTTGAGAGTAGAAGGGGTTATGTAGAGAAAAAGGACAATATGAAGAACTTCAAAATATGACAGCTGTTGTAGTGTTCAGCTGCCACCAGCTTAAAAAAATCTGTGTGGCTCCTAGGTCTCTCTTAATTAGGCAGGCTGCACCTTCAGCTTCCTTTATGTAGATGCTAAATCACTTTCATTTTCTTTTTCTTAAAATGTGGGTGCCTTTTTTGGCTTGGGGCTCTCCTCATTGTTTTCTTTTCCATGCCCTTACATGCCATGTACCCTAAAGCATGGTGACTGACTTGTTTCACCAGCTCTGGCTGTGATAATTGGGAGTTGCTGTCATCTCTTCTCACGGCATCTTGCCAGTACGTGAGGAAAGCATACTAGGATTTTGTCAAATGAGTTAGAGTTTACCATATTTATTAAGTGTGTGGCTTTTTAGGCAATAACCAGATGTCTTTTTTCCCATTGTGAAAGTGTCTAAGCTGTGTAAGTCAGGTATTTGTAGTTCATTAGTATATATTGTGGCTTATCTGTTGAAGAGAGTTGTAAAGTAGAGCTTTGCTCACACTTTTTCTGGGTAAGCCAGTCTTCTCATGTCTTTGATTGCTTGCGGGATTTGGGCAAATGAGTAGTTTTATCATATGGATATAAATGCTATCCAAAATGAAGGCCACCAGTCTGTTTCTTGCTAATGTTTTTGAAAATAGCACAAAACCACAGTAGGGAGCTTGTTCTAGTAATTAGGTATAATTTTGAGCTGTGCGTCTGTAAATTACTGCCCTGTAGTTGCATCTATACAAACTCCTCTCAAAGATTCAAAACTATTTTGTATGTTGTTTTCAGACTTATGCAATATTTTGTGACTGGTATATCCCTATTTTGACTTTCTACTATATGGATAATATGATTTCTGTGTATCTAGAATTGTATTGACAATTCTAATATAGGTTAGAATTCTAATATTCTAATATAGGTTGATCACATACATAAAATTTGTGAATGGTTTTTAGTTTTTGGTCTATTTTTGTGTGAACTATCAATGAAAAGTAATGAGGAATTGGTTCAAGTATTTCAAGAAATACTCACGGAGACCAGTCTTATCTTGTATGATATTGCTTGCTAATGCTTATTCACCACAGTATTGTTTATTACAGTTCACATTATTCTTTTCTAAGTTTTAGCCCACAACTACTCTTTGTTGAGAATATGACTAAGAATTGCGCCATATTTTTTAACATTAAAGATGTTGGGGAAAGAAGAGCTAGGATTTAAGCTTGGAATGAATATTATTTATATGGATGAGTTAGAGGAGATAGATAACAGAATAAGAATAGAGGACAAAACTTTATTGAGCATTAAGTTAAAAAATTTGAGAGAAAGGAGACAATGAAGAAAACTGTAAAAAAAAAAGAGATTAGAAAATTAAGAGAACCACAAGACAGTAGCACTTCTGGTCCTAGGAAAATGAATTGAGAGTTTTTAGAAGTGTTAAGTGCTGAAGAAAGTGAGAAAAGTTTCCAGGTCACCAGTAATTTTGAGGAAGTGGTCATAGTTGAGGGATGTCAGAGGAGTAAATGGAAGGTGTTAGGGTAACAGGGGGAGGATTCAGGATTGCAGGAAGGGTATTCAAGCATGAGAGGGCAGATGAAGTATTGGAATGTAGGAGGGTAAGTGAAGAAGAGAGTAAAGAGAGATGGGATAATTGATACGAAAAGCTCAGTGGGATAGCTCAGGAATAGGTTTAAGATGACAGCTGGAGATGTTAGCCATGGAAAAAAGTTAGGGGTAGGTCTTCCTTTAATACAGAAAGGGAGGAGGTAAATATTTGTAAACATGCAAACTGAGAGATTATTAAGGAGGGGAACTATATTCCATTTTGTTAATCTGAATGACTACCACATTTTTGACATTCTGTAAATATCAAGTGCCTACTACATGCCTAGCACTGTTTTAGGTACTGAAAATGTAGCAGTGAGCGCAATAGACAAGTTCTCTACTGTTGTGGATCGTCCATTCTAGTGGGAGAAATAGACAACTAATACTTCAGTTAGTATAAATAACTATAAAAGAAACAACCAATTCCATGTGATAGAGCATTTGTAATTATTCTGTTTTAGGGGACATGGTCAGGAAAGGACTCTTTGGTAGTTGGCATTTAAGTTGAGATAAACGGGGGAGGCATATCTAGAAGGAAGAGGTCCTGATGTGGGAACATGATTTTTGTGTTCAAGGAACAAAGACACGATAAGTGAATTCTCATTCAATGTTGAATGAATTACTATAGATTATGTTACAGATGTAGGGTTGAAAAACAGAATGATTCAAGAATGAAGTATCTAGGAGTTTGATGGCACTTTAACAAAGTGGTTAACAGCTTGGACTCTGACACTAGACTGGTTTCAATTCCTAGCTCTGTCATTCGCTGGTTGTGTAACCTTAAGTACATTACATAACTTCCGTGCTTTAGTTTCTTACATGTAGAATGGGGATGATAATAATAATGTGGATTGTTTTGTAGATTAAATGCAGAGATATATGTAACATTCTTGGCACATTAAATGTTATTAAATATTATTATTTTGCTGGCAGCGAGGGGCTAGAGGACTTGGAGAGAAGGCAAGGGTTTTGTCTTTTACTCTTTTTTTTTTTTTTAAATCTCAATGACTGTTGAATGCGGGAGCAACTTTCATTTATTCAGTGACTGATATCCTTGAATGAGTGAGACCCATTGGGGAAAGGAGTTAGACAGGAAAGAAATGTTTGATCAGTTTCGCCTGTGAATGGAGGTATATATATACCTTGCAATTGCAAAGCACCATTGCTCAGTGGCTGAATGTTAGAACTCCTGATTCAGACTGCGTTAAGTCCAAATCCTAATTTTACCTTTTTTCATGGGTGTCAAATTGGGCAAGTTAATTAGATTTTCTTTGTTTCTTTATTTGTAACTTTTTAGGTTATAGGTATCTAAAGGAAGTTGTGCTTATGTGTGATAAGTGTTTTAAATGTTAGCTGTTATTATTATTAAACAACATTTAAAATTCTAATCAGATTAGTATTATAAACTTTTCTACTCGAGAGAAATGGAGAAAATGTCTAATTGATTCAGAGTTAAAGTGTGACTGGTGGTCAAAGAAAAATAGAAAGTGAAGGTTTTTGGTGACAGTGTTTGACTATGTGGTAAAAAGGAAGTGCTACCAGGAGGGAACTGATAGGCTGGGAGATAATTTATGGAAGAGTCAGGATATCTGGGTCTTGCAGGGGTAGAAGAACAATGTTAATGGATACAATAGAGGAAATTGTGAATGAAATGGGGAATTGCTTTTCTTCTCAGAGCTAAACCCTCTGAGTTCCTTCAGCAGCTTGTCAGAAATGGTATGTTTGTGTCCATCCACATGTGCCTGCGATTTTAATCGTAAGATCTTAAGTAGTCAACCCAACAAATGCTCAGGGTTATTACTTAGCACTAACCATGGTCCTGTAAAGATTTATAATTTACAATTCCTAGATTTGAGTGTATTATCTGTCTGGGGTGTAAGGTACAAAGGCAGATACTTCTGAAAATGTTTAATGAAGTGATGAAGCAAGCATGAGATATTATGACAGAGGGACAAAGCTCAGCCTGCTCAGGTACTTGAGCAGAAGTGAGAAAGCAGTGTGTGCAAGTAATAGCAAGATTTCCGTTAGCCTTAGAATGCAGGTGTCATGAGGAAGAGAAATGGGAAGTCTTTCTAGACATGGAGGCTTTGACCAAAGGGTAGGGCATCTGGAAGAGCAAGTAAGAATTAGATTTTAACTAGGAGATATTGATCAACTCTGCTGGTTTTGAGTGAGGAGGAGACATTATTATAGGAATGGATTAGGAAATGATGTGGGATCAAATTAGTATATGTATATCTGCATTTGGGATAGGTAGTAATTTTCTAAATACAGCTATTACATCTGTGGAATGCTATATAATGTATAGAGACATACTAAGGCAAAAACTGCTCTGTTGGCATAGTGGTAGGTAGAAATGTGAAATGAATTAGTCTCCCACATAAGAGAAGTGGAATGTCTTGTTTTGGATCTTGAAAAGAAAATAAAAATGTTAATTTAAAAACACTTTAAGTTTAGGACTGGTGGAGTAGCTCAAGCTGTAAGAGCGTCTGCCTAGCAAACACAAGGCCTGAGTTCAAACCCCAGTGTGGCCAAAAAATCCCAAACTTTAACATTTTAAAATATTTGTTTTAAAAATCATCAGAATAGTCTCACAT